TGTGTTGTCAGCGTTGTTGTGTTGTCAGCGTTGTTGTGTTGTCAGCGTTGTTGTGTTGTTGTGTTGTCAGCGTTGTTGTGTTGTCAGCGTTGTTGTGTGTCGGCGTTGTTGTGTTGTTGTGTTGTCAGCGTTGTTGTGTTGTCAGCGTTGTTGTGTTGTTGTGTTGTCAGCGTTGTTGTGTTGTCAGCGTTGTTGTGTTGTCGGCGTTGTTGTGTTGTCAGCGTTGTTGTGTTGTCAGCGTTGTTGTGTTGTCAGCGTTGTTGTGTTGTCAGCGTTGTTGTGTTGTCAGCGTTGTTGTGTTGTCAGCGTTGTAGTGTTGTCAGCGTTGCTGTGTTGTCAGCGTTGTTGTGTTGTCAGCGTTGTTGTGTTGTTGTGTTGTTGTGTTGTCAGCGTTGTTGTGTTGTCAGCGTTGTTGTGTTGTTGTGTTGTCAGCGTTGTTGTGTTGTCAGCGTTGTTGTGTTGTCAGCGTTGTTGTGTGTTGTGTTGTCAGCGTTGTTGTGTTGTCAGCGTTGTTGTGTTGTCGGCGTTGTTGTGTTGTTGTGTTGTCAGCGTTGTTGTGTGTCAGCGTGATGTGTTGTTGTGTTGTCAGCGTTGTTGTGTTGTCAGCGTTTTGTGTTGTCGGCGTTGTTGTGTTGTTGTGTTGTCAGCGTTGTTGTGTTGTCAGCGTTGTTGTGTTGTCAGCGTTGTTGGTGTTGTCAGCGTTGTTGTGTTGTCAGCGTTGTTGTGTTGTCAGCGTGTTGTGTTGTCGGCGTTGTTGTATTGTCAGCGTTGTTGTGTTGTCAGTGTTGTCATAGTTGTGTTTGTCATAGGTTGTGTTGTCAATGTTGTTGGTGTTGTCATAGTTGTGTTGTCAGCGTTGTTGTGTTGTCAGCGTTGTTGTGTTGTCAGCGGTGTTGTGTTGTCAGCGTTGTTGTGTTGTCAGCGTTGATTTGTTGTCAGCGTTGTTGTGTTGTTGTGTTGTGTTGTCAGCGTTGTTGTGTTGTCAGCGTTGTTGTGTTGTTGTATTGTCAGCGTGTTGTGTTGTCAGCGTTGTTGTGTTGTCAGCGTTGTTGTGTTGTCAGCGTTGTTGTGTTGTCAGCGTTGTTGTGTTGTTGTGTTGCCAGCGTTGTTGTGTTGTCAGCGTTGTTGTGTTGTCGGCGTTGTTGTGTTGTTGTGTTGTCAGCGTTGTTGTGTGTCAGCGTTGTTGTGTTTGTCAGCGTTGTTGTGTTGTCAGCGTTGTTGTGTTGTCAGCGTTGTTGTGTTGTTGTGTTGTCAGCGTTGTTGTGTTGTCAGCGTTGTTGTGTTGTCGGCGTTGTTGTGTTGTTGTGTTGTCAGCGTTGTTGTGTTGTCAGCGTTGTTGTGTTGTCAGCGTTGTTGTGTTGTCAGCGTTGTTGTGTTGTCAAGCGTTGTTGTGTTGTCAGCGTTGTTGTGTTGTCAGTGTTGTTGTGTTGTCAGCGTTGTTGTGTTGTCAGCGTTGTTGTGTTGTTGTGTTGTCAGCGTTGTTGTGTTGTCAGCGTTGTTGTGTTGTCAGCGTTGTTGTGTTGTCAGCGTAGTTGTGTTGTCAGCGTTGTTGTGTTGTCAGCGTTGTTGTGTTGTTATTATTGTTTTCTTATTATGTTAAAAAATAGATTAAAAAATAGGGAAATTGGAAGGAGTACATGTCAAAACAAAATTGTGTGAGAAATAACAGCAACCAGTGTTTCTTCCATGCATTTCTGTAGGTCTAACAGCACCCTGGGTACCCAAGCTAATTAATTTGCTTAGTTTCACACATATTAGACTAGATTTGTATATTTTAATAAAATAGTTTTAAAATACAAGATCTATATTAAATTATTAATATAGGCCTCCAATAAAGTGACTAATTTACTGGGTAGATTCTAAGCATTCAATTAAATAAACTATCAGTTAAAATTTAAAGTTAGCTATTACAAAAAAAAATTGTCTGTATCGTTTTAAAATGTTGATAAAATACCTCAGGCAGCTGCTCTGGCCCACGTTCCCACGCGTATCCTGAGCTGATGACAGTCAGTTGTAGATAAGCCAGTCTCAAATCCTCATACTTTTCTAGCCTTGAACTGTCCAGCAAAGGGAGCTAACAAGTAAAATGTTTACATCAGCAACAAACCCGGCAAAGGGAACTAACAAGTAACACGTTTACATCATCATCCACAGCAAAGGGAGCTAACAAGTAAAATGTTTCGCTCAGCTTCTTTAGCACGGGACAAAAAGAAATAAGTAAAATTTTGACTAAAGTGCAACTGAATATTTTGTAGTGGCAAGACCTAATTACTAATTTGTTATTAGGGTATAAATAAGTGAACAAAAACAATCAATTGATAAAATCTTTAAAAATTGACGAAGTGGAGAAGGCGATGTGAGGATTTTTATGAACCAGGCCTTTATTATGATTTATTTTAAAAACTTGCTGTTAGTTGTGTGTGTGTATATATATATATATATATATATATGTATTTATTTATTTGTTTATCAGATAATTTGAAATTAGACAAAGAGTTAGGGATGTTTTAAAACAAAATTTTAAAGATTTTTCACTTTTAAACTTGTTCATTGTGTTGCTGAAACCCACCTTCTCGGTCTCCTGTCTCATGGATTGTGACGTCATCAGCTCGACAGTCTTGAGCGCCAACTGGTGCCATGGCAGAAAGTAATCGGGCAGTGAATCCTGTCAATGGTCAATGATACTGAGTACAGAAACTCGTAACATTTACATAGGCCTACATAAACAACCCTCTTCAAAACATCAGCCAAAACAACTTTGTATTTCGGGTCACTATAGCCAACAAAATGGTGGGTGCTTTGGCTACAGTCGTTGGAATTTTTGGCCCTTTGCTTCAAGGTGATACAATGTATTTGTTAAAGAAAATGAGAAGGGTGAGTATGTATGTGTGGGGGGTGGAGGGTAACAATGGCAAGAAGACACGACATGTCTCGATCATTTGAAGACTTCAGTAGGTCTTTAAGTGCCTTCAAAAAATATTCTCAGATGGCCTACATGACGTCAACTATGCGAAGGGAAAGGTCAAGGTTGTTGGTCATTATAGCCACACTCTCACCTCTGGTCCACATCATAAAAACAAACTCTACTTCACCTGCACTAGTGAACACCAGATCAGGGTAGGTTTCCATGGCAAATATTTAGGGGGGAGGGAAGAAAAAACAATGCAAGTGGACTCCCCCCCCCCCACCCATTTTTTTTTACTCTAGTCGATTCACACAGCCCCTCATGATGCACTAAACATCTGTAGATAATAGACCCCGTCCCATACGCCGGTGTTAACTGCTGAATCATTTCAGAAACAAATTTATCGACATAATAATATTAATATGATGCAAAATCAAACGATCAACTGCAGCGGTACTGCTTCATCGTACTACACTATGAACATTTGTACACAAAAATATTTCTACAAAAATAAATATTTTCATCCCGTTTGTGAGACTACAAAAGTCATACAACATAGAAATCTAGCTCAATTTCTATAGATCTAGTACCTCACTGTGCTTGCCGTCTGAAACATCACAGGGTTCAGTAATTAATAATTAACCTCATCTACCACTTACCGGAAGTTCACTCGCGAATCCAGTCGTTTCAAACACCTCAAAATCTCGAAAATGTATCGCCTCTGCCATTCTCGGGCAGGTAACCTCGTACAGTCAACAGATAACACGCCAGTTGCAGACGACTGAGTCTCGTCTATGTAGCCCGGACAGGGTCAGCGCTTTTTATATTTGTCTAGCAGTGGAACGCCCTATACTGCAACACCCGGCAGTGGTTGCATGATCTGCCGAGCCAGTCCCAGAAATAAAAGGAAACCAAAGTTCTGATGAAATGTAAACAAAATGGGAAGAAAAGGCTCGCGGGTAAATTCACTTTTGGGGAGAGAAAAAAATTTAGGTAAAAAAGTAAACTTTGGACCGGGTGCAGTCAACCGTAGCAGCATGACAGGCGATAATTTACATAGTGAGTTGGATTATTTAACGGTACTAGCCACACCATCATGATAATGTAAGGTTAATGAATTATCTCTCATTCTGACAGTTGCACAATTGCTATGCATGTTAGTTAGTAGTAAGCAGCAAGCAAAGGGACAATACTTCACGTGATTGAGATGAAAACAGCACTTTGATTGTGTAGCCCTAATTAGTTAATTAACTTGTATCTGTAAGAATGCTCCCAAGTACAGCGTCCCCACCCCCCCCCCCACCCCCCCCCCCACAAAAAATAATCTCAACGGCCACCATTAGCTATGGAATAGTTTCACGTAAACACAAATGGCCGTGTGATAGATTCCACCAATATCAAGTTATATCTCTTGTTCACTGACCTATGTCAAACTCTTCAACTCGCCATTATTATACAAAAACTTGAGCTGAAATGGTGTCTATACACAATCGTATCATCCACGGACAAAATAGTTTTACATCGCGAACTAAAGTTCTAAAGCTGCGCATAGGCCGCGAAAAGTTGCATCAGTTTTCTAAAAATAGAAAGTTTCCCGCACACCTGACTGTACTGCATTGACCTAAGCGAGTACACATGTACACCAAATACATGAGACAGAGGGCCCGGAGTTGTACAACTACAGTAGTGTGAGTACACACTACCCCCCCCCCCCCCCACCAACAAGTTGTTACTGTACTGATGAAGGTCACCAACAACTGGACCAAAGAACGCCAAAATTGTACACGTAACACACCAGCCCTGTGTCTCACGGATAAAAATTGTTTCTGGGCCGCTAAAAGATTACAAAATTAGTTTTTTTTTCTCTGACATTTTCTCAGGTCAGTGTTGCCCAGTTTTGGGGGTCAAAGTTTAAACCAATTTAGGCACATTTCTAACAGAACGGCATCTTTTGCAGCAACCTTTTCCGATGCCAACCCAAAAGAGCTTTCAATACACTTAATTAAAAATACATGTTTAAACCTTTGAACCTGCGGTACCACTTTTCGGTTCTTATCTCAAGTACTGGACTTAATGAACAGAAAAGGGGAGATAAGAAAATAGCTATCATTTTATTCAGCCATGGTTTGGTATTCACGTAATAAGTGGGAGATAATTTATGTAAACTGCTGGTGCAGATTGTTTTTTTTTTCGGTGGAATTAGGACACTTAAAAAGATCGTGTATAAAATAAAGCTAATTTATATCATAAAGGGTGTAGAATAAAGAGAGATGAATTTAGTACAAAATTATAAATTTTTAAACTTAAGTATCACCTCTTATAGCATTACAATATTTAAATTAGAAAATTTGTAAAAAAAAATTGAAAACAAATGTCTAGCCATAATAAAATTGTTGGTCGAAAAAATCTCTTGCTATTAATGTATTATACTTTTAGCTAAGCTAAATGTTTGATTTAGTGTTTTGAAAAGTTAAGAAGTTTTAAAAAACAATTTTTTTAGTTTAAAATGACAGGGGACAAAGTATTTTAATTAATTGGACACTAGATAACATACATGAGCAAAGATATAAAATAACATCGAAACCAAATGATTTATTTATGGCCAATTCATTTTTACTGTTCTTACAAGCAACATTTTTCTCAACCTTACACACAATATAAAAAAATTTAGCATCACCATAAATGTGTAGAGAGTGACAAACATCAGATGTAAAAAAAAATGGTTACAAATGTTTAAAAGGATCAAAACTTGAATCATGAGACACTGGTCTGTAGACTACCACTAATGATTGTAACTGGTGCTGGTATACATTTCAATAACGAGAACCCAAAATTTCTGTAGCCGTAGAGGCCAGAAATATATCCAAGTGTCTTGCACTTTCATCTAATACACTTAAATGTTTGACTTGTTACAAATTCTGCCTTCACTTGCATTTTAATTTTGCAAAAATTTTTGTAAAAATATTAAACTAAGATTTTAAAAAAAAGGTCACCCTTTATCTGCCCTGTGATTTAAAACTGTCACCCAGCATCTGCCATATGATTCACATAAAAAGATGTTCCCACAGCTATACTTGTGCCAGGTGGTAATGTGCTTGACATTGCTGGCCAGGTAATGCTGGAGAAACCAATCCAAATTATACAAGGTTAAAAAAAAATAATCCCCACCCAGGCAACTGACCAATGAGACCGTCCAAGTTACATGTCTGTGTGTAGACTTGTCCAGTCTTCCAGTCACTGTGGCAGGTAGACAATACACAGGTGTGTAAACAAACCTACCAGGTTACTCAGCACAGCACATCTCTGCTAGAGAAGTGGATCTTCATCCGGTGGGCGGGGACAAGGATAAACAATTCATGTGGGGAGGGGATTGCACTCGACTGGGGCAGATGATGGCAGTGCTACATACAGCCATTATCACAGCACAGGGCAGACAGTGGGCACCAAGTACTGGGCATATGGAACCCTAGACACTATTATTAACAAAATTTTAGGGATTTCAAAATAGAAAAAAAATTGTAAAAATATCTGTGCAATTCATAATTGCATTAAGTTTTTTTTTTTTTTACAATTTAAAGATAAAAATTGTAAACTGAAACCCTAAGCTCTAGAGAAAAAGATTTCATATCAGATCAAAATTATGAATATAATGACTTGTAGAAAAATTGAATGGTCTCACAGCCTCATAACAACAGTAAAAATTGAACTCCACCAATAGCCATTTGGTCATTGAGAACACAGAGACAGACAGACTATCACAGTAATACTACAAGACTTGCATGATGAATGCCACATTGCTTAGCATACCAAAACTTTTTCGACTTTACCAAGTTCACCTATTTAAAGGCTAAGATAGCTACACATCTACCCAAATAGTTTGGACTTTACCATAGACCTATCACAAGGCTAAAATTGCTAGATAAGTACCTTCCCAAAGTTAAACCCATCACAATGCTAAGATTGTTACAAAGTTACCCTTATCACAAGAACAAACAATGACCACTGCTATCACACCAAATATTCAGAGATCTCTGAAACATGTTTTTGACATCAAGACTCAACTTGTCAACAAGTAGAACTGGTATCATAAAATACCAGATAAAAAATTTCACCAACTGGCCACACTACGATAAATGCTAGGCAAAATATTTGTATCAATTCCATAAAAAAATTGTTCTCTATATTTACTGTCAACAAAAAAAGCTGACCAATGACTGTATATATTGCAGTTATGTATACAAAAATGTATAGGAAAATTGCATTTAGACACTTATGAGAAAACTATTACATTTCATGATGTATTTTTTTTTTAGAAAATTCGTGAAAGTAAAATACACAAATAATTTGACGACAGTTTACCACCAACTGGTACACAAAAATAATACCAAAGTCCTGCAGCAAAAATTGTTGACCTGTGTTAAACAAAAACAATTTACCTGGGATGAGGAGGGGGGGGGGGGGGGGGGTTAGTTTTGACAGTCAGGTATATATATCTTTTTTGACAGACATTTATAATTTGACAGATATGTAACCTTTGATGGACATTTATCATTAACAGCTGTAGCTAGAAAGAAATGAACATTCGCCGTGCAAATAGTTACTACTAAATGCAGTTTACACAAATTGATCATTGGAACGATGGATCTACAGCAGCTTTACCATCAGACAGATGCAGTTTTTCCCACAAACTCAGATCACAGAAACCAGAGGCACAGTGTTGACAAATAAAGCACAGTAAATAACCCTGACAAGCAATTCACAAAAAAAAAAAAACAACTTAAAAATCCCCTGAAAAAAATGGCACGTTTGAAAGTTAGCACTGCGAGGCTTTAAAATTGGCGGCTATCCTGGTCCGGCGCTTGACTGGCGAGCTGCTGCAGCTGTCTGATGAGGTGGGCTGAGAGTTTGTGGAACTGGTGTCCAGCGGACGGTTGGCTGGTGAGAACAGATCTTTAGGGTCGTCTGCGCTGGACTGGGACCTGGTCTCGCAGTCTGCGACTAGGCTGGAATCTACGCAGGCTTGAGGATATGGTGAGTTGCTGGTAGGGTGGGGGGATGTGTGATGGCTGCCAACATTACCACTGTAAACCTGGGGTGGATTGGTACAGAGTACATCACAATATGTAACAGATACAACTATGGCTAAACATTTTAAAAAACTTAAAGTTAAGCAGTTATTACAGCAAAAAACAAAACCTTATGTTAAACCCTACATTTGGCAATATAGCTAAACCTAGAACAGAAAACAGCTGAACATACTTTAACCTACATCAACTACACCTACATTTATAGATAAATCTAGAATTAAAACTATAGCTAGTCTCTAGCTAAGCCTACATCACCACCTACAGATCCATAGCCAAGCCTACGTCATCACCTACACAACAACCAAGCTGACATCAGCACCTACACATCAATAACTAAGCCCACACCACCTACACATCAACAACCAAGGCCACACCACCTACACATCAACAACCAAGCCCACACCACCTACACAACAACAACCAAGGCCACACCACCTACACAACAACAACCAAGCCCACACCACCTACACAACAACAACCAAGCCAACAATTCAACCTACAGTTTCACCCCCAGCTGTCATCTGCCATGCTGATAGACCTCCATTGGACAAGTTGTCTTTAGAGCTGTCTTGTTTAGCAATAGTAGAAGAGGCCAGAGCAGAGTTCAAGAGGTCTATGATGTTACAGGAGGTTGGGTTGTACGCCTGCCTGTCTCCTGCAGGTGACTGAAATACAGTATAACACCAACTTGTTATATAAACATAACATTTTAACAACACCAACTTGTTATATAAACATAACATTTTACCAACAACTTGTTATAATATAAACATGACATTTACCAACACCAACTTGTTATATAAACATGACATTTTAACAACACCAACTTGTTATATAAACATAACATTTTACCACCACCAGTTTATTATATAAACATAATATTTTACCACCACCAGTTTATTATATAAACATTACCATTTTATCACCACCAACTTGTTATATAAACATTACCATTTTACCACCACCAACTTATTATATAAACTTAACATTTTAACAACACCAACTTATTATATAAACTTAACATTTTAACAACACCAACTTATTATATAAACATAACATTGTATCACCACCATAAGATATTGCACCCAGGGCTAATACAGAAAACATGCCTAGAGGTTAAAACTTTACTAAATACACCCCCCCCCCCTCCTATGATAAAATACAGTACTCAGGGGTCCTAAAAATGTGTACAGCAGACTGTACCTGTTGCACAATGCTAGAGTCCCAGAGATTGGAGGCATGCTGGAGAAGATTAGATGTTGAGTCACTCCTTGTATCAATGTTTCCATTGCTTTCTGTAACAACAGATACAACACTTGTTACATGCATGTACATTTCAGTAGAGGTAGGTGTTTGAATGTGTTTACAGGTTTGCAGGAAGGAATTAGATGTGTATTTGTTTATATCAACAGCTGTACAGCTAGGTGCTTTTAATGTGCAGAGGTGTACAGGTAGGTGTAAGAACATGTGAAGTAACCTTTGCTTACCTTGAATACTGCTAGGGTTAAACTGTGTTGGTGATGTGACATCAACCCTGGCAGGTGGTAGAGTACCTAGAAAAAAAAATGGTAACACAATTATACCTTGACAAAGGAGCATACTCATTATTGTACCTTTCTATAGTTTGTTATAGTTGAGGCCATGTTTTATTATAATAAGGCTTTGTGGTCAAATAGACCTAAGAACCATCAGATCCCAAAGGGTACTTATAAAAATAATTGACTGTATAGTTAATTATTGACTGACAAAAATCTCATTGCAACAGCCTATAATACTCCCAAAAGCGAGAATTATTTGTTCTGCAGTGATATTAAAACATTTAAATATACTTTTATAACAATTTAGACCGAATGCATCTATAATATAACGCTGCTGGTAGTGTGTCAGTCCTTCCTTCCGTCATTGCTATAGCTTTTGAAACCATAAAAGTAAACATTCGCACCATGCTGTGCTTTTCAGTGCACCGCAGTGTCTTATTATAAGTAATAGAGTAGGGTTTGTTTATATAGCGGCATAGAGCTATTTTATAATTGCCACGGTTTTTACTCTTTCGCATAACGTCAAGAAAATATTAAATACACGCAAACTGCTAAAACGTATTAAAAAGATTAATGTCAAATATCATTTTCGTTTAGGCTCCCAGAAAAAGTGGATACATTTTAATAACATAATAACAGTAGGGTAGAAAAATCAAATTAATTTAACTCTTTTCTAATTTTGACAAAGGAGGTAATTTAAAAATACATTAAACTCACGCTAATAAAAAATGTGAATGCAAATATACGTTCGTCATAGAAGGAATTAGTGTTGCAATAATATAATTAGCAAAATGTGAATGCAAATTATTCGGATGTGTAAGAGGAAGTTATTGTTAGAAAATTATAATTAGCATGGATTGATAAAAGGCAATCTTTTATTTATTTTATTCACTGAATGTAGGCCCTACTGTTTATTACTTATAATTACTTATAATTTTGAATCAACTATTCAGCATTATTGTAGACGCGTCATTACGTTCATTAGGTGCGCAATGGTTTTAGTTATGAAACTCTATTGTAAGTTTTTAAAATTTAAAGCACTGGAAAAAAAATGCGTGAATGGATAAAGTGAAATATTGTAGGTAAAACACGGATATTTTAAATACTGCCTATTATTTATACTGTTTACTAATTATTATTCTATCTTTCGGTTTGCGGATTTGCGGACAAGCTAGGGGTTTTATAGGAGAGGCTTAGCGAGGGGGGGGGGGCATATGTCCCCGGGTGCCAACCTTAGGGGGCGCCAGAGTGGGTTGGAAAAAATTGCGCGAGGGGGGGGGGGTGGAAATCGAAAGTTTTAGGGCGGGGGGACAGGGGTGCAAATCGAAAGTTTGAGGGGATGCAAATCACCGGAAAGGGCGCGATTTGGCGCTGAGGGCTAGACTGTGAACAATATGCCTATATGATTGCATTTAAATTGTGTTTGTTATGAGTGTTGTGTTTGTTTTTTCGTTTGTGTTTTTTTTGCGTACATTTGTGTTGTGTTTAGTTTTGTTCTGTTCCCAAGTTGGTACATTTAAAAAAGATTTACCGTGGCGGAGCACGGGATGCAGCTAGTTTATTTATTATTGGAAATTTAGGCAAATGAAAATTTGAAAATAAAATTTTAAAAATATCTTTTTTGTCACCACAGGTATGCAAATAATAAATGCACAGGCATTAAAGATTAATCATATTTGGGTTATTTTTTATTTTTTTAAATTTCAGCACCAAAATGTGATGTCTTATACCACAATCCTACCAGAAGATAGGCCTATATCAAACAAACTACTACTGCTCTTCTTAATGTCAGAATTAGCTAACCAATCGGATGCCTCTGACTTCAGAGAAAGTGAGATAAGCCCCGCCCACAAAACAGTAACAATGAGAATACAACTCACCAGGGGGAGGTAACACACTGGAGAGGACAATATACTTCTGGGTTGATTTCCCCTTGAGCTCCAGGATGTGGGGGAAAGACTGCAGCAGGTGATACAAGCTGGTGAAGCCATACAGGGCAGGGGACAGGTCCACCCCGTACTGGCCCTTGTACATGCTGGACAGGTCACTCATCAGGATCTTTTCCTTGTGGAGCAGGAGCAGACGCAGGTTTCTGGCCAGCATCTGCTGCGTGGTCAGGCGGATCACACCACCATTCTCACCATCCTCCTGGTCAATCTGTAATGGGTCAAGTCAGATGGAACTTGGTAAACTAGGGTGGTCAGATGGAACTTGGTTAACTAGGGTGGTCAAATAGGTCAAGTCAGATGAAACTTGGTAAAACTAGGGTGATCGAACAGGTCAAGTCAGATGGAACTTGGTAAAACTAGGGTGGTCAGTTAGATGGAACTTGGTAAACTAGGGTGGTCAGTTAGATGGAACTTGGTAAACTAGGGTGGTCAGTTAGATGGAACTTGGTAAACTAGGGTGGTCAGTTAGATGAAACTTGGTAAAACTAGGGTGGTCAGTTAGATGGAACTTGGTAAACTAGGGTGGTCAGTTAGATGGAACTTGGTAAAACTAGGGTGGTCAGTTAGATGGAACTTGGTAAAACTAGGGGGGTCAGTTAGATGGAACTTGGTAAAACTAGGGTGGTCAGTTAGATGAAACTTGGTAAAACTAGGGTGGTCAGTTAGATGGAACTTGGTAAAACTAGGGGGGTCAGTTAGATGAAACTTGGTAAAACTAGGGTGGTCAGTTAGATGGAACTTGGTAAAACTAGGGGGGTCAGTTAGATGGAACTTGGTAAAACTAGGGTGGTCAGTTAGATGGAACTTGGTAAAACTAGGTAGGGTGATCAAATAGGTCAAGTCAGATGGAACTTGGTAAAACTAAGACATACAGTTTGTCAGATTTTACTCAACTTGTTCAAACTAGTAGTTTTATGCAGTATCTCAGCTGCTTAAGGAGGTTAACTACATGTTAAGTTTTAGTTTCTGTAGGTGGCAGTGAGATTATATTCAACATGTAGTCACATTTAGGTCATGGTTGACTTAAATAAAAAAAACAACTCTTTTATTTAAAGATAGTATGATGAATAAGGGAAGAAAGTTTTTATTTTTTAAACCAAACTACTAGAACAAGAGAATTCTTTTAAACAATGAGCCCCTCCATGATGTAAAAACTGAAGCCACTGGTTGTGCTGTTGACTGACCTGCATGAAATCTGAGAGCTCATCCCTGATCTGGTCCACATCACACCTGTGGCCAAACAGGGACTCATAGCGCATGCACAGCTCCATCAAGGGGAGGCTACCACCTGACTCGTCCATCAGGAGTTGCATGACCTGGAGACCTATCAATGGGATGTGGGACTCCCTCACCAGGCTGGCGTATTCCTGCCCATTTCTCATCTCAATCTGAGTCAGACAAATTTACAAGTGTACAGAAGTTGATATAATTTCAATCATTCAACAGAGATAAGTCATTAAAATAATTGTATATACCATACCAATACATTAATAACATAAGTATAAACAAAGTACAGCCTACACTACTAATTGGATATTTAAAGCTTGATATTACTATTTATTACAATGGTTACTGAGATATACAAATAAATGCTGAACTTCTAATATGTTTGTTAATTGCAAATTTTAATCAATTCTTTTTTAAGATCATACATACTTTTTATGGTCTTTTACTTTATACAAACAAATTTTGTTATACTGGCTTTTACTTGATACTAAGTACAGTATTTACCTTAATGTGAGTTTTGAGTTTAAGTAACAGTGCCCTTGTAGAATCAGCCCTAAAATCGTCCAACTTTAAACAAAAGCCAAAGTGATTGGCGTACTCTGTGAGTATTCTGTTGACAGGGATGGCACCAGATGGACGGATGAGTGTGGTCAACTGCTCACACAGAACTTTCCTCAGCTCAGCTGGACTTAGGTGGATCAACTTCTCCTCCCCCTCCTCTTCCAGCTGAAACATTGACAGATGTTTTACATACATGCCAAATGTTTTACATACATTGTCAGACATTTTACATACATTGCCAGCCATTTTACATACATTGCCAGGCATTTTATAATATATTGCTAGACATTTTAGAATACATTGCCAGCCATTTTAAAATACATTGCCAGCCATTTTAGAATACATTGCTAGACATTTTACATATACCTAAAGCTATAGTGTTTTATTATAAACCCTGAAAATTGCCAGAAATTTTACACCTAAAGCTAATGACCATTTCATATAACACTGAAAAATTTACTGCTAAATTTGTATTAAGCCAAAGTGCTTGTATAAGCAAATTTTCAATATTTACTTCTGTAATTGTATAAACAAACATAATTTGAATATTTAATTTTTAATTACTTAATGAAAGCTTTCATTTACTATAAACTGAACATGAACTATAAATATAATATAATTCTATAATTATGTAAACTATTTTTTCTTTTCTTATTCCAAATTAAAATATATATTGCAAGAAACATCTTTAGAAATTCAATAAGCTGATTTGGAAGATTTGAAGTTACCTCAATATAACTAATAGATTAAAACAGGTGTACCTCAATGATATGACTAATTTATTTAAACAGGTGTACCTCAATGATATGACTAATTTATTTAAACAGGTGTACCTCAATGATATGACTAATTTATTTAAACAGGTGTACCTCAATGATATGACTAATTTATTTAAACAGGTGTACCTCAATGATATGACTAATTTATTTAAACAGGTGTACCTCAATGATATGACTAATTTATTTAAACAGGTGTACCTCAATGATATGACTAATTTATTTAAACAGGTGTACCTCAATGATATGACTAATTTATTTAAACAGGTGTACCTCAATGATATGACTAATTTATTTAAACAGGTGTACCTCAATGATATGACTAATTTATTTAAACAGGTGTACCTCAATGATATGACTAATTTATTTAAACAGGTGTACCTCAATGATATGACTAATAGATTCAAACAGGTCTCCCAGCTTGGTGAAGCCGTAGTCAGCCACCCGACACTGGCGCCCAAAGTGGTGGTGGTAGGCAGGGATAAACTTGTTGAATGGCATCCTACACTGGGGGTTGTGCTTGAGCAGATCCACCACCTCTAGGGCAAACTGCTTGGTTCTTTCAACTTCCTCAGGAGTTTGATCTGCCAGGGCACAAGGTACAGATGCAAATAATGTGAAAATATGAACACTGATGGACATGACAGTTGTACAGATTTAAATCATATGAAACTATGAACACTGAATGACATAACTGTGTTGTGAAGATTCAAATCATATGAAATTATGAACACTGAAGGACTTGTGTTGTGCAAATTTAAATCATATCAGATTATGAACACTGACTGTGTTGTACAGATTCAAATAATATGAAACTATGAACACTGAAGAACATGACTGTTGTGCAGATTTAAATCATATAAAACTATGAACAAAGTAGAACACAAATTACTTAAACCGCGTACCTCTTCTTGGTAAAGCCAACAAGGTGTGGTTGTTTTCCTCAATCACCTGAAATAGAAACATTTCAATTCACTAGATCAGGACCAATCATCTTGAGGCTGAATGTTGTTTTAAGAATATTATTGAAAGGGTGAACAAATATTCTTAAATAAAAATGTATTGCAACCTGAATTTCTATTTTACAAGTTAATGTCAAAATTCTGTGAGAACTATCAAACTTAAAAATATTTTGGGAATATCTACTTAAATAAAACTAGATGCTGTGGGAATATCCAGTAAACTTACAATAAGTGTGGTTGTGGGAATATCCATCAACATATCCTCCATAAAGCAGACACCATAATGAGGTAGAAATAAAGGTTTACCCATCACTTTTTCTAAAAGGTAGAAAGAAAAAAAGAAAAACTGTGTAGAAAATAAAATACTAAAAGAATACAGATAATTATACTATAAACTATAACTGAACTAACCATAAGCTGGTGGAAAAGCTTCCAACATTATCTGTTTTGTGGCTTGGGCCTTGACAACTTTTAGAATGTCTGTAGTAAACCTCTTTAACTGTGCGCGAGGGCTGAGTGTTATAGCTTTCCTGTCACCTGTACCTAGCACCTACGGGCAAAAAAAAGGTTGCTTGTGTTGAAAAAACAGTTTTATAGAATTAACTTAAGACTTGTAAGTAGCTACTGAGAAGTCAAACCGTGTTTGATATGACTTCTGAAAGTTAAACCTGAATGAGGTGCTTTAAGAGTCAAACCTGAATGGCATGTGGGATGGCCTCAAAAAGTTCCTGAAGTTTAGTATACCCGTAGTCTGCGACCCGACACTGGCGCCCAAAGTAGTGGTGGTAGGCTGGGATGAACCTGGACACAGGCATGGTGCAGGTGGGCTGTTGGCGCAGCAGCTCCATCACTTCCCTGCTGATTTTACCCAACTCCTGCCAGGCACTGCCTTTCATCATGTCTAGAGGAGCAAATTAAGAAATAGAATATACAGGGAAAGTTTTGGAAATCACTCCAGTATTACTAAGATTTATTTTAGGAGATGTAAACTTGTTGACTAGAGTAGCTTCCCTTTAGTTTTATCCATTGTTTAAGTGTATTTTGTAATTATGAATTTACAGGAATATAAAAGGAAAAATAAGCAACATTTGGCTAGAAACAATATATTTGATCTAATTTTGATCGAGTAAGTTCAGTCAACTCTATTTAGTTATTCTATCCCATCCCTTTTATACATTGATTAGATCCAAGCATTCCTTATAAAAACTTAATTATGAATCCACAACTAGAAAACAGATTTATGACACATACCATAAAACTGCTCCCTGTTCTCCTGAAATTGTATCACCTTGACCCCAATCTTTGAGACCGTGATTTCCACCCCAGGCACACAGCTGATGACGTGCTCCAATGGGATCCCTCCATCTGCCACAGGCTCAATAGGTTTAAATTCAGCAGCATAGCAGGCAGGGAAACTGTAAACAAACATGCAAGTTAATTCATTACCACCAAAAACAAAACAAAAACAAATTAAATTTTTTCCCAGCAATTAAAAGCATTTAATTGAACAACATTTGGAGTTGCCAGTTAAAAATTAAGTGTTAAGTCCTCAATGGGTCTGGATTACGTCTTCTAAACATGGCTTTATGTGCATATGATACAACAAGAGTGAAATGGTCTACAAGATACAAAGTTGAGCTCTCTGCTGTCCAAAAAATTTTCCAGTGAAATAAACTACACTATCTGTGTAATTAACATTCTCTTTAAATTGTTTGATTACCATGTGGTTAACACAAAGTTGTGAGCGATACAATCAGTGACAAGACTACAGGGAAGCATTTCTAAGTACTAGCCTCATGAGTGGGATGTAGCCATTGTGTGAAGCCTAGAGATAAACTTCACCAGTACTAACCTCATGAGTGGGATGTAGCCGTTGTGTGAAAGCAGCAGAGAGTGGAGCTGTGGTGAGAAATGTTTGCGGATCATCTTAACACTGGGCAACATGCAGGAGTTGAGGGCTTCAGTGTAGAAGACGCTGCCCTCAGCACAATGGATGGAACACACCGGCTGCTCAAGGACCTCTGTGACCTTTACACAAGAATAAACAACATAACATTTTTAAAGACTTCCTTCTTTCTTTTTCTGCGTTCTTAATTTTAGAGATTCTCGCCAATACAATTATTATGTGTCAACTTGTTATGTGCCATATAGGCCTTGGACTCCGATTTCAGCCTTTTTTTTGGATTTGCTTTCTAAGCCTTTGTCCAACCAAGAATAAACTAAAGGCAGCAGTTGTTTGATTTTGGAGTTGTCTCTCCTAGAAGAGTGGCTGTCCCCAGCTGTTGACTTTTCGGTTAAGTAACCATGAGATTTACCGACTCTTACCACGCCAACCCCATTTTAAAGACTAATTCTCTGTTGGTGATATATTTAAAAAGTTAAGATGATTAAGATACAGCAAATATTTTTATAGCACTTAATAGGTACTTTATTTTTTTTCCCACAACTATTAATAAGTAACAAAAATTTTGGATAATCTATGACAGTGGTATTACCTCTCCATCTGCTGTTACTGTAGGTGTTGGTGACCTTCGAACCCCAGGCTGAAGCTTGACCCAGCGACCTGCGCCACTTGTCTCAACTATCTGTATGGTGTCCCTCATCTTGTAGATGTCTGACACGGAGACAGTCTTGTGGAACCTGGGAGGTAAGACATGAAAAGGTGAGAACTGTCAAATACTGTCACCAGAATTTACTTTCTCATATATATGATGTAGAGAAAGTCTTGTAATCGTGTAAAAAAAATAAAAATAGAGATTTTTGCAAATCTCGAAAAACAGTTTTGCAATCTTGACCTACGTCTGTGTGGTCTGTGAACACGATAACTTGAGTATGCAATTTTTTTTTCTACGAGATTCTATTCTATTTATAAAAGCTTAAGTAATTAAAAATGGATTAAAAATCATGTCTATACCCCGAGTTGACATCCCCCGCATTGTTATATAAGAATATTCGAGAAAGTTTAGGGGAGATCACTCCCGGTTTATTGTAGTGTCTCACTCTACAGGGCTAAATGTTTTCAAAAATCTTTTATTTTAAAGGGACTTTAGTTTACAACTATCTTTTATCAGAGTGATATTTATTTACACTGACCTTTTATCAAAGGGACATTTGTTTACACTGACCTTTTATCAAAGGGACATTTGTTTACACTGACCTTTTATCAAAGGGACATTTGTTTACACTGACCTTTTATCAAAGGGACATTTGTTTACACCTACCTTTTATCAAAGGGACATTTGTTTACACTGACCTTTTATCAAAGGGACATTTGTTTACACCTACCTTTTATCAAAGGGACATTTGTTTACACTGACCTTTTATCAAAGGGACATTTGTTTACACCTACCTTTTATCAAAGAGACGTTTGTTTACACCTACCTTTTATCAAAGAGATGTTTGTTTACACTGACCTTTTATCAAAGAGATCTATCAAACGGGCCAGTGCCATCTTGTTGTCCTTAGCTTCCATCAAGAGGGCGATTGTGTCAGCTCTAAAATATGAAAAAAAAAAAGTTTTATGAAATTCAAATGCATTTTTTTATACCAAAATTTTTAATAAGAAAAACTAACAGCTTTCACAGAAAGTTTCTTCTTAATAGTTTAACAGAACATCAATTTTAAAAATATACTAACTAAAGAAATTAGGGGCCAATAAAAAATTTGATAACTTTAAATGGAGGTATATTTTTCACAAATTAGAAGCACAATTACAATTTTATCTTATATATATATAATTCTCTTTTTGGAGACCCTAGAAAACACCAAGCTGTAAGCGCGCCTAGCAGTCCCCTCTAGGCATATCGCTACCACCCCCACATGGTCTGGTGAGCTGTGGTTCACGCTAAATGTTTACAATCGTAGAGCCGGGTTTAGTGACGGCTATTAGGGGCAGATAATTTAGTTTGAAACGATTTTAAACTTAAGGGAGGTAACTAAGAGAAGGCTGCTTTCACAAGGGTGGGGTTAGGGAAAGGAGGAGGGGGGGTTTATCGTCCTTAACGAGCTACTGATAGTGTTTTAAAGCAAATATATTCAGTGGCAGCATCGGTACTGTTGAATTCACAAATTATGAATTACTGGAAAGTAGAAAATAAAACAACTAAATAGCGGCGTATGATACGCCACAGGTCGGCTCGTATTAATAATATATTTCACCACAATGACATAATGGTTTTACTGATGAAAAAACTGTAAACCTCACCTTAAGCTGTCAGCTGGTGACTGGGACACATCTGTTTTAAACTGTACATTGATCCTCTTGTATCCAATCTTACGCCGATGGAACTGAGCAATGGCAAATCTGGCATCTTGTTCAGACACTAATCGCACTGTTGCAACAGAGGTATTGTCAGCTTGAAGGCGAACTTGTATGCTCAAAATCTGAAGTGGGTTGATTAAGAATTAAATCTACAACTTATTTTCAAAATTAAGAATAAAATTATATTTAAATTTTATAAATTGTATTATGAATATAAATAAATTTTTTAATATTGTTTTTTAATTTATTTAAATTTTTATTTTTAAGTGTAGAATTTTTTTCATACTATGATTTTTAATTCAATTTTTTTTTAAAACCAATTTAATTTATAATAATTTCAAAATGTCAATTGAAATATAACGGTTGATGTTATAAATGAGCCTAACCTTTACATGTGGAAGGAATGTGGCATAAATAATTTTTCTCCACTCCCTGGGGTGGATGTTGTAGTCCAGGTTGGACACTATGAGCTCCACATACGTGTCCCTGTCTGCATTAAACTCTGGGTTCATGTAGTCTGTCGATGGCTCCCCTATTTCATCAGGGGTGGGCACCCTGTACAGGTTACTGCCATACTGTTTGGGGCGGGGTCTGTTTACAGGGGGAGCAGTGTAGGGAGAGGGGGTGCGGTTGGTGGGGAATAAAGGGGTGGGGCCAGAAGCAAGCCTTGGTCGAAAGCTTTGATTTTGTTTTGGGGCAGCAGATGCATTTGATGGACTAAATGGCCTGTAGAATATTTGGTTTGTTAGTGAACTAATACAGCAGAAAGATGAGGTATAACACTGAATCCACAAGAATCAAGAAAATGAGGGAGACTCAAAAAACGTACAAAAAAAAACAAGTGAAAAATGTTGGAAAAATAGAAGAATTCAACAAAAAGGCAAGCCTTGGTCGAATGCTTTCTTTTGTTTCGGGGTAGCAGAAGCATTTGGTTTGTTAGTGAACTCTCACAGCAAAAAGGTACATCACAGAATCCACGAGAATCAAGAAAATAAAAGAATTCAACAGAGAAGCAAGTCTAAAAGTTCAGAGAATTAAAGTCAAATAGTTAATAAAAAACACTTCAAATATGCAGAGACGGTACATTATAAATACATTTCTCTAAATGCAACTGAAATACAAGTCAAATACATCAAATAAGACACACTAGAAACAGTTACCTGTCTTCACCATCTGATGAAAAACTATGACGCAGGTTAGGTTGATTTCCTGCAGCTGTTTGATTCTTTGGACTTGGTTGTAGATTTGATCCATTTACATTGGTCTGAACTCTGAAAATACACAACCATGTTCAAATTCCACAAATGGGCAGCTTTGTTAAAACTAAAAACTGTCCAAAATATTCTTAAAAAAAAAAACAACCTATAAGCATGTTTAAATAAGTTCAGTAAAAAAAATAATTAACTCACTTGAAAGCTTTCTGAGGCGACTGAGGCTTCTTAAATGTGCCAGCATTTTGTGAATGACTTCTAAAAGCACTGGCTGGTGGGTAGCCATGCATCATACAGATCTCATCCTCTATTGTCAGCCTCTCCTTGGCTATTGTGATGTGCTGAACTGGCACAGACATGCTCCGGGGCTGATGCTGGTACGGCTGCTTGATGTTATTCTGGTACCCATTGGAAGTTTGGAGTTTGGTAAATGCAGATCCCTGAGATGCGTTAAAATTGTTTTTATTGCAGTTTTTCCTGTATGAGTTAGGGCCGGGGAGGGGGGCAGGCTGTGAATCTGGGTGTGGCGGGGCCTCAATGTTGGTACTGCCAGAATTTGACATGAAGGTTGAGCTGTCCTTTGATGCTGTTTCGATCAACTAAAACACAGAAATAAATATACAAGGTAATTAGGGCTACTTTATGTATACAGTTGAAAGGGAGTAAATTTTAGACTAATGATAATACAAAAATTAAATTGATTGAACATCCACCTTGGTGACTAAAAATTACAGCCCACAGGGGTCTACCATTAATCAGATAAAATATCTACATGAAATTTTTTAAAGATCAGAGTGTTCCTCAGATAAGTTTGCCCAATAAATCAACAATAACAGATTGTGATCTAAAAGTACATTCATGTACACCTTTAGTCAACACATTAAGTAAAAGCTTGGAAACTTTCCAAGGTTTAAAAACTATTTTTTTTGTATGGTATAAAATTATTTTCTCTAATATCAGTTAAAGCACTAGAGCAGCAGATCAGTTGTATCCACTAAGCTGAAGGTATACAGAAAAACACTTATGAAATAAACTCCTTACCTTGATGGGGTCGAAAGCCGTGGCATTGGGATCTAGGGTGAAGCAGCAGGAGTTGGGTGGCATGACAGGGGGAGGGATATCACGAAAACCAAACGAGGGGATTGGTATGTCAGCTAAACTCTTCTTCTCAGCACACTTAAACACCGGCGCTGACCCCCCACCCGCGCCAGACTTGTTGAACCCTCCTAGGAAATAGGCAGGGTCTAAAAGCTTGTTCTGTGATTCACTGGACGAAACTGTCGACGTAGATGAAGCAGTGATACCAAAGTTGGTAAAACTGGGGTCAGAGGGCGGTCTGGACTTGATGTTGTAGTACTTCTCCGAGTTGGAGTTGGGCAGGGTGTGGGTGTGACTAGGGCTGGTGGCACTGTGGCTGGTGCTGGGACTCTCTGGTCTGCCAAACTCATGCCCCACGGGTCCTCCGGGAGTTTTGTAAGCTTTACGGTCAGTGCTGGGGTTGGGTGGTTTAAACTGGTAGTCTGTGTTAACTGTGTAGGTGTTCAAACTCTGGGATAAAAAAAAAATACACGTTTTAAAATACAAACCTTAAGTACAATGGAGGTAAGAATATTTTATCATATAGGTCTCAGATGCTGCACTCACAGTGGATTTTTCAAAGAAAAAAGGATGTTGCTATTACTATTTAGTAATATAGAACCAGTAAACATATGAATGCCCCCTAAACGAACTTATTACCTAGACATTCTATTTTTTTAAAAGAGTATTGTGTCAGACAAATAAAAAGAATCATCCTAAATATCTATAAGCAATAAAAATGAGACCCCTGTTGCCTGTGCATCTTGTGTATGAGGTGACTAATGCATAATTTTAACACTAATAAAAAATAAAAACTAGCAAAAGTAAAACTGAGAAAGTGAAAAAACAGCAATGGAAATCTTCAGTGAACCAAACCTACCAGGTCATTTCCTCCAAACAACTTGTCACAGAAACTGCTTGGTCCTGTATTGTAATTGACAAAATCGTATGAGTCAGGGGTGTAGCTGCGGGAGTTCATCCGCTCTCTGCCTGGCCGTCTCTGTGGTGAGGGGCTCTCCTGTCGCTTGGGTAATAAAGGACCTGCCAACTCTAGAAACAAAGTCAATATTGTCATCAGACCATGCAGAGTACTTCAAAATTACCAAGCAAGAAGCACAAATTGACACAACTTTTTCTCATAACTCATGAAGTATCAGATGCCTGTAGTCTGGCGTAAAAAATTTGGATCCATGCCCAAACTTAATCCTACCTTCAAGGCAAATATGTTAACTACAACACTAAAAAGTAAACACATACTTGTACTTTAAGCTGGTCTAAAACAAAAACACATGTGACTTACTTCTGACTGTGTTGTAAAATGGTGTCTCTTCCGGCAAACATACAGTAATTTTTCTTCCATACACATCTTCTCCATTCATTCTTTTTTTTGCTCTGAAATAATTTTAACATTCAATTAAACAATAAAAATTGGTTACAAGTGGCAAAGTTACAATACAATTTGAAATTTCAAAGTAGTCAATTTATACTAGGATTTAATAATTTTTGAAGAAGATAACACTGACAGAACGTTTGTTTAAATTATAATTTTCAAGGATCTCAAAAACTGTATTAAGAGCAAATATAGTTGTGAGGAGTTATCCAGTCCTTTTTAAACAATGCAGGCATGTAATGGGGATGTTGAGTTACAATAACTAATAACAGTTAAAACTATAGTAGTATTTATAGTATGTTTATTATACTACTCACAACCTGTAGGGTATGGCTATACCAGTGTCAGATGATGCCAAAATAAATTTAAAAGGGGGTGTTTGGTTTCTGGTAGTAAAACAAAATAATACAACTAACACTAACCCAATCACTAACTTAAATCTTAACAGCCTGACACCACAATACAAATATAAATGATCACACCAGCCCAACGTATTTGAGTAATTCTTAAACCAGCTAGTGTAAACAGCACAATCACAGTGGGTAGGAGGCTGACATTTAGGAGACAAGACAAATTATGATGAATTGGGTTAATTGTTTAATTTAAGGGAAACAGTCAAGAGATACAGCATAGAAGTTCAATTGATAATTTATAGAATTATTCAGCAATAATGGGTTGTTGTTGAAAAATTAAAAAGAATATCTACCTATAAATAACTTTTATTTTATTGGGGGGAATTTTAATACCAGTGTCCGATAATAGAATCTTCTTTAAAAAAGGGGTGTTAGGTTACTGGTAGTTTAAATACACACATGGCTTGCTAATGTCAATGCTAACCCTATCCCTAACCTTAACCCCAATCCTGGTCCTACCATACGCCTAACCCTAATTTCTAACCATAAAACTAGACGAGATTACAATACTACTAACAACCTAACACACCTATTTTTGGAAGAGTCTATCTACGGACATCGGCCTCTATAATCATCTGTTTTATCATTCTCAACATCAAATCAATGATGTATTTTGTGTGCTATTCAGAAAGTTTAATGCTGTGTGATACTGAATGAATATATCAACTCAGTAATAAGTACCACAAACAAATATCTACACACCTTGTAAAACCAATACTTATAGTGCAAGCAGCAGTAAAATTTGTACAGGAAATCATATACAAAACATTGCTGTCTTCACACACACAAAAATGTACTCAGTAAAACTAAGTGTGTAGGGAGAAAAAAAAAACTCAGCAGGGCAGTGAACACTAATCACCACCACAACACATCACAAAACTGGTGAACTTCTTACAAGTGCAGGGTGTAAACAATCAACACCAGTATCTGATTGACAGGTACTAAGATGTGTAGGTGTGCAGATATAATAAAATCTCTACCCTCTAACATTCAAACCCCCCCCCCCACTTCACCACTTTCCACCTTTGCTAAACACACTAAAATCAACACACTCAAAGCTCATCAAAATCTCAACTTTACTGTTCTGCCACCTACAATACAACAAATCTACTCAGTCACAGGTCATCAGACCCTGCCCCTCCCCCCCCCCCCCCCCAACAAATCTGCTCAGGCCGTCATAACCTCACCCCACACTATGATAACACTAAAACTACTCTACCGTTGTGCCCCCTCTAACTACAACAAACCTCAGCCACAGGTTATCCGAACCCCTATCCCACACTTTATTGTCAACCCCCATCCTACACTACAGCCCAACCAATCAACTCAGACACAGATTATCAGAAACCCCCCCCCCCCCCCATACCTACACTATAGCCCAACCAACCAACTCAGGTGACCAACAGCCTCCCTAGCTCTCTAATAACTCAGGTGTGTCCAGCTTCAGCACAGCAAACAGTGACCCTATAGCAGGGGTCGGCAACCTTTTGAAGCGGAAGAGCCAAAAGTTACAATTTTCAAAATTTCCCTGGTTTTAAAGAGCCACTAACATTTTTTTTATTTCAAATATTTTATTTTTTATAAAGATTATTAGTATTTGTTCAAGGAGCTGGAGAGCCGCATCTTGATATCAAAAGAGCCGCATGCGGCTCGCGAGCCGCAGGTTGCCGACCCCTGCCCTATAGAGATGACCTTCCCTACCTTTCTAGTAGCTCAGGTGTGTCCAGCTTTAGCACAGCAAACAGTGACCCTATAGAGATGACCTTCCCTACCTTTCTAGTAGCTCAGGTGTGTCCAGCTTTAGCACAGCAAACAGTGACCCTATAGAGATGACCTTCCCTACCTTTCTAGTAACTCAGGTGTGTCCAGCTTTAGCACAGCAAACAGTGACCCTATAGAGATGACCTTCCCTACCTTTCTAGTAACTCTGGTGTGTCCAGCTTTAGCACAGCAAACAGTGATCCTATAGAGATGACCCACCCTACCTTTCTAGTAACTCAGGTGTGTCCAGCTTCAGCACAGCAAACAGTGACCCTATAGAGATGACCTTCCCTACCTTTCTAGTAGCTCAGGTGTGTCCAGCTTTAGCACAGCAAACAGTGATCCTATAGAGATGACCTTCCCCCCACAGTTGTTGGACAACATCTTCAGAATTTGTTTGATCTTGTCCAGTGGTCCATCTTTGTTGTAGCCATAGATGACTAGAAGGTTATCTGTCACCTCCTATACATAATTCAATCACAATACATTTAATCATACCAATCCATTACATTATATTAATCACTAAATCATGAGATCAGGAGCTGTTATTCAATAATTGATTAATTAGTGATTGTTTATTAAATCATCATAAGAATGCAGTTGGATGTATGTAAATTTCAAGTTTGTTAACAACTTTCTAATAAAATGTTCAGGTAGGCAAAGTACCCTAACAAGAAAATATTCCCTTGTTCAAGACAGTGTAAGCTCGTGAACACCTAATATACAAGTTACTGGCCTGGTAAAACACCACATTAGAATGCCTGACATGAGGTGATGAGCCAACAGAGTATGAAATAAATTGTATTTCATACTTTGCCGTAGGAGTTTATGAAAGCCAAAATGGGAATCAGCAAAGTGTGAATAAGCTTATTCCTTCCAGAAAATTTCCTAACACTTACATTAACTAAGGTTGGGTTTAATGTTAGAATTAGGGTCAATTTGCCACCAACAGTGGAGAGGGTAATGTCCTAGGTTTTGTAAGTGTGTGTGGGCAAGGGCGAGAAGTATTGACATGGGAGGTAAACATTAAAACAACCAGGGGTAATGTCCAGCATAAGATCAGGGGTATTTTGTGGTTTACAACAACAATTATATGTGGTCGCTCTGAAATACCTGTTATTTAGGGCATAAAAGACAAATAAAAAGTCTATTCTCTAGTCATTACACCAGAAACTTCTTATCTTTTGGGCTAGATGTAGATTATGATAATATACATACAGATACTCTTTGATTAAGATAAAACATGTAGATTGATCTGCATTCATGCAAAAATTCATAACATTCTCTGCCCAACAAATGCAAGTATGAGGCACATGATAAGGGAAGCAATGTAAGTATGGAGTCAAATCTCACCTTAAGTCCTGGCCTGTCAGGGAGGTCTTTGATTAACTCCTCGTACAAAAAATGTTCTGTGGCACATGTCAGCAGCGCTTCACTGACCTGGGCTTTGTGTATCAGGACCACATCAAATTTTTTCCTATGCTGGAGGTCAGAAAGGTCAGATGCAAAGTTCACATCACCTGAAAAATATTTTCAGGACAACAGGAGTCATTTTAAACAAAATGTTGAATTACTGATAATTAATTTTAAACAAAACAACATAAATAGAATGCAAATTATTTTTTCTTATGAATGATAATCTTGAAAATGTAAAATTACGAGCAATTTTTTCTTTCATACATTGTAAATTGGCTATTTTAAGCTTCCAGAGGTTCAAAGTATAAGCTATATAAGAGAAAACGTTTCTAGAAGTAAATTAACTCGTGTTTTGTAGTAACATTTTAGTTTCTATTATCTATAAAAAACAAAACTAACATACACAACTAGTAACCATAGTGAAATCAGACCTTATTTCAAGCAGCCTTCTTTCAAACTTAAAGCACAAGCATTTAAATTTTCCACAAATAGGTTTTATGTTTGTTTTAAAACGTTGAAGACAGCAATTATAATTATAGGCAGTTCACAATTACAAGAATATGGTGGTGATTGCTTAGTGAAACTCACTTGAAATGAGAATGACCTTAGTTCCAGGAGGATGGGAATCTGAAAACCTTCTCAGACTTTGCCTGATTTTATCATCAGCTGCATTTTTAGACCTTGCATTGATATGCACCACATTAATCTATGGTGAAACAGATGGAAAATAGGTGAAAAACTTTAGAATATCCACAATAAGTATCATCACATTTGGAAACACTATTACATCTTAATTTATCTTACTATTTTATGTCAAACTGTTTTTAAAAGCAATGGATAAACCAAAATCTTAGTTGAATAAACCACATACTTGTCCATCATTCAAATCTTTTATTGTGGTGTCAGACTCTTTATTGATGTCACACACACAGATAAACTCAGCTTCCCTACAATCTTGAAAGAAAGTTTTCCGAATCCTTTCAATTATTTTTAGAGCTGACTTGCCCTTTGGGACACAGCAGTTTTCTATGTCCCAGAACACTCCTACAGGTCTTAAAGTAGACATGCCTAGAAAACAAATGTTAAATGGACTTTGTAGAAAGCCTGCCAAAACTTTTACGTTAAGAATCACTCAATAAACACAGTTAATTATTCATTAATTAAATTTTTAATTAAACATTAGAATATTAATCATGTTAAACAAATGTTAAATGAACTTTGTAAAAAGCTTGCCAAAGCTTTTATGTTATAATCACTCAATAAACACATTTAAATTTAATTATTCATTAATTAACACTTATTTATAAATTAGAATATTAATCATGGAAACTTAGATTTGTACTAACACAGAACACAATGTATTGTAAAATTTAAGTCTTAATTTAGTAAACATATTTAAATTATAATAAGAAAAAAGATGTAATGTTTTTTGTTTTGAGCGGTACACCTTTAAATTAAATATCCAAACAAGCTAAAAATATAATTTTAATTAGAATAGGTTTTTTCTTTAAATTGGGACAATTATATTAAAAAATTCTTTGTAAGCTCTCCTGTAATATAATCTTTAAACTCAGCAATGGGGGAGGCAAAAAATTGATCTCAAAATCAAACGGAATACCAATTTATGTAAATTATAAACCCAAAAAGTCACACAATTTTTCTCGAAAGAAAAACAGTGGGTTTTAGGAAAATGCAAGACGAGAAATGGTGTGACAGTTAAATGCATGAAAGGTGCAAAAACTGCTAGTAATGCGACATAATTGTTAAACATTTTTTACCCCCACATGATTTGTAGGCTTGACAGGAATAAATTGTGCTGACATATGCAAACATTTTACCGCATCTGAATTCCAATGTTACGATAATTTACATAAACTTTTATGCAGGCTTAAATTTTTAAATTCTTTATTTAAATTTGTCTTAGAATAGCTGCAAATATATCTATTATTTCAAGTCCAATGAATCTGATGGTCCAGTTTTTACTGCATCCTAAATTTTTTACGAGTGAACAACTTTTTTCTGTTGTGTCGACTTTGAATACCACCTAGATCTAGTTCAAAACAGATCAAATTATAATTTGTTACTTTATTAAAAACTTAAGCCTACTACTTTATTCTTTCTCTTCCATGTTCATTTAAATGAAATTTTTTTTTTCAGTCCTACATTTTCCACTGATATTTTTTAGTTAGGTCTACATATTTAATGATATTTTTACAAAAAGTAGGCCTATTGTTGTCATTCTTAATGAAAGAAATGTAGGCTATTTCTCCCTTACCTGGTTCTGAAACGCACATCTTATGTAAACTCACAATTACCCTAAGTACCATTTTGTTTTACTTAGTTTGGGGAAAAATTAAAGTGACATTACTGACAATCAGATAGCAATGTTAACATGCTATGATGTATGCTATAGTGTTGCTGATTTCTAATCCAATATGAATTCACAGTGACCCCAGACAAGAAAACGTGAGTGGGCAATCATTGGAGCAAAAACATTTAGAATCAGCCTATTTCTTGAATCATTTTTAATCTAGACCTAGATTTAAAAAACAAAAGTAAGTCCAGAGTACTAATGATCTATCTATATTTGTTTATTTGAAAACTTTTCTGCTCGCACATCTTGAAAAAAAGAACAAAAAGCAAAGAAAAAAACATCTCTTGCAAAATTTTGTAACTCTATTTACGCGTAATTCTGCAGGTATGTCTTGCATTTCCTGCCTCACCATTTCGCAATCTAGTATTTTATTTTTCAAGTGTCTGGACAGAGCAAACTGCATACCGTCAAGCCTCCCAGGCTCTAGGCTAGGCGGAGCAAATATTATGTGCATGCACAAGCATTCTTTGCATTTTATATTAAACTTTTTGACATTGTGATAATCATTTCGGTGGTCAAATTGTTTAATAAATTAATAGCTTGGGCATCAGGCAGGTTTTTTCTTGGCATCTGTTCCAATCCTATTGGCTCAGTTTGATTTTGTTTAACCCTATTTTACTTAGGGCCTAATAAATAAATATTTTATAGGGTAGGGAGGATTTCTATACACATGCGCAGTACATAGAATACAGTGATATTAAGGGTGGCAAGTTTTATCCTACTAGCTAGTGTAGTGTGTAGTGTAGATTGTTCCTAGACCCCTGGCTACAGTCTTTAACTTTAGGATTGTTAAAACCTGAAATATTTCAGCTTCATTTGATTAGTAAACTATAAAACTAAAGCAGGGGTCTCCAAACTACGGCCCGCTGGCCAGATGCGGCCCGCAAGGCACTCTCATCCGGCCCGCAGAGATCATTTTGTCCACGGAAAAAAACGTTTGTTGTTGATGGCTGAGGAACTTTGCCCAGAAAAATCAAAGACATGCCTGGAAGAAACTGGCCCCCGAACTGAAATTTTATAGTTAATGCGGCCCTCGGACTGAAAAGTTTGGAGACCCCTGAACTAAAGCATGGATGTACTTAAAAATCAACAAATTGATCTAGGTCTACATCTAGGTCTAATTCAATTTGAGTGAGACAACCAGATGGATTGCCTACCAGACCAGAGTGCCAGATCAGATGAGACGCTACTCTCTGATGACTCTGGTCTAGGTACTAGGATTACGCTCGCGCCGCGGCGTCCGAGGCGTCATTTTTCTCCCGTTACCAGGCTGTTGCGTTTTCGGCGATGGCGCGAGTGACGATGTTCGAAAATTTGCTTAATTTGCCGCTTCCGTGTGATCATTTTTCTTTTGATGATTGTTTTAAGGAGAAAAATGGATATCAAGCTTGTTTGTTTTTTTTTTTGTTTTTTTTTCTGGACCCAAAAAAGAGGAGTTATTCTTTGAAAATAAGGTAAGTTTATTTTATTCATTACAAAAAAACTATTGAAGACACGCGCACTTTATGTAGAGACTCAAACAAAGGGACCATTTCTACGTATTATCTTTATTAATTTAGAGTTCTAAGTTGCTCCCATTGTTAATGGCTCACTCCCCAAAAAGGTATGTACTTCGCCATTTCTGATGGTTACGGCTCAAAACGAAAGGAAAGCCGGAAGTACCGTGAGAGGCCTAGCCCGATCATGCTAACAACACTACCGACTTATTAAATATGACTTTCAATTTACACTGTATTCAGTTATTTTTTTATTATTTAGTATAGACTTGGTTTAATTAATATCACTATATCGTTTGAATTGACAGTTCTAGAAAATAATAGCACATTCCCCATTGACTCTTTATTTAGGCCTATATATTTTATTATTTGAAATGCTGTCATATACGCATACATTTAGCGGTCGGTTTTAAGGTTGACACCGAGAGGGCATAACGTTTTGGATGATGTGTTGCACATAGGAGATGGGTGTTGGGAGGGGGGGGGGGGGGTTGAGTAAGTACGGTGGCCTCCAGTTCCGTGACGTCATGTAGATCTATTGTATGGATGGCCCACTACTAATTACTAAACCAACACGCGAAACTGACATTATTATTGTTGGTTATGGTTTTTTTTCCCCAAATTAACTGCGTTCACCGGGAATCTGTCCTCAGTCCTCTGACGTCACTGAACGACGCGTTGACCCGAGGTTGACATTGTTCTACGTGAGCATCGAGGGTTGGGGTTAAGAAAGGTGACGTAGTGTACCAATGAGGATAGGGGGAGGGTTAATGACGTCACTTATGGAAGATCGTTTACCATAGTTTATAATGAAGGATTTAAAACAGTATTCCAAGTTTTCAACGCTCTGTTCTGATTATAAACGTAGTAGTCCTGTTTATTTGAATTCTTCTAAGATTAATGTTGTGGACTTTTTACATCTTGAATACTAACAAAAATAGGTTTTATTTTTATCTACGGCGTTTATTTTGAGCCATTTTGACGAGAGCTAGATTCTAGAACTGTATAGCCACGAGCATTAATGACGGGAGTCATTGTCATGCACAGATTGCCGTGAGCATTAATGACGGGAGTCATTGTCATGCACAGATTGCCGTGAGCATTAATGACGGGAGTCATTGTCATGCACAGATTGCCGTGAGCATTAATGACGGGAGTCATTGTCATGCACAGATTGCCGTGAGCATTAATGACGGGAGTCATTGTCATGCACAGATTGCCGTGAGCATTAATGACGGGAGTCATTGTCATGCACAGATTGCCGTGAGCATTAATGACGGGAGTCATTGTCATGCACAGATTGCCGTGAGCATTAATGACGGGAGTCATTGTCATGCACAGATTGCCGTGAGCATTAATGACGGGAGTCATTGTCATGCACAGATTGCCGTGAGCATTAATGACGGGAGTCATTGTCATGCACAGATTGCCGTGAGCATTAATGACGGGAGTCATTGTCATGCACAGATTGCCGTGAGCATTAATGACGGGAGTCATTGTCATGCACAGATTGCCGTGAGCATTAATGACGGGAGTCATTGTCACGCACATATTGACGTGAGCATTAATGACGGGAGTTATTGTCAAGCACATATTGACGTGAGCATTAATGACGGGAGTTATTGTCACGCACAATAAGTCATTAATGATGTCAAGGGGTTTGTCGGGAATTTCAATAAGTCGATCTTAATGACCGTATGTCTACAGTGGTTGGTCAGTTTACTAATTAGTTATGTTTCATTTATTTTAATGACATGTTACTAAAGTAATGTTCATTATTCCAGATATAAGAAACTGCAATTCTACAGCATAGGCAAAGGAAGAACAATGTAATATTAAACAGTGATGGAAATTAAATTTCTTTGATGGAAATAAATAACTTGTTCATCTTTAATTTTCTAAAACAAATTACAATAGTTTAAAATATGGTTTCATATATTAAAAAAAAATTAGAATTCACATATAACCATTTATAAAACTTACCAATATCAATATTTATATAATATTAACAGACACACTTACAGAACTTCATTCTGATCAGTTTTCAGCTTGATATTTTAAATAGTTTGAGTTAATTTTGAGTTGTGTGAAAAGTTTCGGTGTTAAAAATATAGAGGGGTACATTCTTCCACCCCCTATTTTAGGCAAACATATATAACTAAAACATACAATTTGATTGTATCTATTTAGGTTTAGGGTTAACTACAATCAGGCCAATTTTGAGACATAAATACTTAAAAGTTCAAATTTGGCATCATTTTCCATTTTACACTAACCAGATTTCGGTTTTTGTAAAAATGCATAATTTATCAACTCATTTGCTCTTTGAACAAAAAACTTTCAAATTATGATCAATATTTTGATGGTATTAATGATCACATCCATAGCCACACATTCTGAGCAATTTTCAGCTTGATATTTCAAATAGTTTAACTTTAAACTGTGATTGTATGAAAGCACTGTGAATGCAAAAATAAGGGGGTCCCCTCCTCCCCTCCAGTTTTTTTTAGAATTCTACCTATGAAGTTCTCTTTTTATTTTTTATTATGTTAACATATATGATAACTTAAGTTACTACAAAGTTATAACAAATTTGATCACACGGTTTACAGGCTATGACAATTTTAGTAAACGCTTTAAAAAATTCTAACACAGAAATTGAAAAAAATCCTATGTTAAAAAAAACGCTTTTTTTAATACGAAAAAAAATCATAACTATTTAACCGTTTGAGCTACATCAAAAATGAAAACTGTTCTGTTATTGTAATTTTCTGCTCCTTTTAACTGTAGTAGTTGTTTCCCCAAAAACCCAATTTTGAAAATTTATCCTAGTACCTACTCTGGTCACATACTTGACATACGCTAGGAAATAAACAACTAATTTCAGCTCGGTTTATTAATCTGCTTTCAGTTTTGTTTGTTGAGCTGTAATGTAACTGAAAATGCTAATCTGCAAATGGTATCTTTCAAATTTATACCTTTTCTCAAAAATAAATAAACCAGGTCTGTTCATTTTATTTCTAAAAGTTCATCAGAAGCCATTTGTTTGGTAGACCTACCACTATTATTAAACTTTTGTTTTTAAAGAGGAAGAGATTTTTAACTTATGTATAATTGAACTTCCGGAAAATATTTCGACAATAATAGGTGTATTAACCGAAACAGAAGTTTAAAAAAAAATTACGACTTGTAAAATACAAGTTGTAGTTTTGCGAACGAAACATAAAAAACAAAACAAATGGTGTAATAGCGATTTAGTAAGCATTTTCAGCGCGCAGCAATCTCATCGTTGCCCTTTAAATTATCTAAGGCCTAAATTAACTTTAAAAATATGAGATGTAGTTCCGACGTATTTTACCTCAGAATACGAAACAGTTTTCAGTTTTAAATTGATGTGTAGGCTTGTTTTTCACTTGTCATATAGATTCTACGGACCCACCCTCCCACCTTGTGACAATTTTTCAATAGTTTAGAGGCGTGAATCGCTTCTGGGGAAAGGGGTTAGAATGTCCCTTATAATACTCATATATTTATGCAGTGCTTTTTTTTTGTGACGGTACGCACCGGTATGGCGTACCGGCACCTTTTTTAATGTGGGCAAAAAATATTACTTTTCTTGTATTTTAACGTTTATTATTTATTTATTATACTATTAATGTGTTTCTTGTTAATTTAGTATCTTTGCAGTTATGATTAAGCTTGCATCGATGTGCGAAATGGTTGTTAAAAGTTAGGCAGTCCATCACTGATTACCCGCACCTATTTTCTTTTTTTTTTTTACAAAAATAAAATAAAAAATAAAGCAATGTATTTATGTACAGACCGAGACCTATACATGTCATCTGTTTCAATAACTGTATTATTAAAAATTATACAGAATCTATTACTATTATGTATTTATTTTAATTTGATGATTTATAGGACTTGATTTTGTAAGCAGTTTCACTTGTGCGTGTTTTCTATTTGATTAAGTATTTAAACTAAATTAACCACGTATATTCAAGGCATATAAGCTTATATTTTACTAATGTACAAACAAGCAATATTGATGGCACTCAACCAAATGAAGACGACCAAAGCTGCAGGCATAGACAATATAACCAGTATTTCTTCCAGACTTTTTTCTCCGGGGGGGGGGGGGGCACTTGAAACTTTCAGGAGGAGGTGGACTAAAATTTCCCTGGTTGGGGGGGGGGGGGGGGGCGGACACTGGTAAAAGTATATATTTTCTATATATACTATATATATATATATATATTTTCTATATTAAAGAGAGAGGGCTAGAAATAGTCAACCAACTACACATTTTTTAACCGAATTTTGTCAACAGATACCCCACCCCGTAGAATGGAGAAAAGGCTTATTGATACAAATTCCAAAGAGCGGAAACTTATTACAAAGTGAAAAAATGTGAGGAATCTCCTTATTATCGGCACCAAGCAAAGTTTTTAGCAAAGTTCTATTAACAGAATTAAAGATACATCAAACACATAACTACGGAGAGGACAAGCATTACTTAGCAAAAGGCGATCAAGGGAAGTAATTTGTACAATTTTTTCAGACACAATTAAAATTTTTGTGAAGGGTGATACATTTGATTTGATTTTGTTCTTTACTTGTTACGTAAATTGAAATGATAAGTTTGATGCCTGGAAGAAACAGTGGTTGTGAAAATTTATCGCGAATGATCATCCAAAAAAAAGAGCCGCTTTATACACGTAAAATATAATAAGAACTTCCATGACAAACTGTAGATCTAGTTATCATTTTTTTTTTAATGTGGCAAATGTATAGATCAACAGTAATTTGAGAATAATTTTAAAGAAAATACAAAACCAGTGACCTGTCAAGATATCGGAGAGGAGCAGAATGGGAGCAGGGGGGGGGAGCAGGGGGAGCGCCTTTTTCGGAGAATAATTAAATAACATTTTAAACAAGTTCCGCAAAACACAAAAAAAAAGATCAACAGCAAGCACAAACTGAAACTATGAATCAAATAATTAAAAACTGTCATGTTATGTACTCTAAATATCACATTTTTAATAATTCATCGCAAGTATATGTGCAGCCTACAAGTTCCGCAAAACACAAAAAAAAAGATCAACAGCAAGCACAAACTGAAACTATGAATCAAATAATTAAAAACTGTCATGTTATGTACTCTAAATATCACATTTTTAATAATTCATCGCAAGTATATGTGCAGCCTACTTCTTGGCTTACTTATTGGCGCCTACCTCAGCGCCAGGCATGTGCGAGGCGCTTATTTGCCACATTGTCTGTTCACTTAAGCTCATGTACATCTGCTGTTTTTGTTATTCCTGCTGTATATAGAATGTCAACCACAAACACATCGATCTAACTTCACAAGTGTAGTCTTTGCTTGAGTTGTCAGGCTAAATTCAGCCATCTTTTTTATACGGGAGGCCTATTATCTTTGTGTTATTGTTTAACTAAAATGTGTCCCGGAGAATACGATTATCTTTGTTATGTCAATACTAGGAGGAAAGGAAACAGCGGGTCCCTTGCCAGTCAGCTGATCTAGAATATTTTCCAAAGGCATCTTATACAGATGCACACTTTTTTTTAGATGGATAGTGTTAAAAACTCAACGCAAATATATGTGGGAGGGGGCGGGGGGGGGAGGAGGGGAGAGGGAGGAAGCTGAATAATGTACAGAAAAATAAACATTCTCACTCATCTTCAAGAACGTTAATATGGGTCAACACTATCGGCACGAACATATGTACTTAACGAACATAAACCTTAATAAATCGAGTAAATTTTGTTAAAACAATATAAAAACACTGTGGATCAGCAGAGTATAACTGCCTCCAACTATAGTTGTTCATAGCTTTTGAAACCGGTCAAACTGTGTAAATGTTTTTTTTAATTACCAGTAAAGATGTGCGTGAGTAATAAAGTGATCAAACCCATACGTTATCATTATGTTAGAAAATAATCTTTAAAGAATACAAAAAGTTGTAGCTAATCATAATGTAAACATCTTAATTGCACCACCAAAAACTAAGTTTATAAAATAGTATTATTTTTTTTTTACAAAAGACTATTAAGGTTTATTTACATAATGCATCTCAGATGGTTTTACTATTAAAAAAAATTATAATTATATATATCTTAAACGTGCATAGGCTCGATTACTCTCACAAATCTTATGAAGTTCTTGCTTCTTTCTCACTGCCTTACCCTGATTACTGTAAGCATCCATGATTTTAAGAGTAAGTTTTTCTTCCATTGGGATTCTCCTTTCTTTGTCTCTACAGCTATCAATAATCCACTTCATAGCCCTAAACTGCCTTTCGTTTTCCTTGGCACACACTGGTACCCTATATGCTACTCCACCTTTGACAACCCTAACAGTTATCAGCACTGGTTTACAATTGTCAACAGCTTGTTTGAAGATGGTTACAGGATTGCACTCAATCTGACTCCTATCTATCTCCGAAGCCTTGTGCCATTTCTCAATTTGTAGGTTCTTCATGTTTTCAAACAACCGACGCTTCACTTCCCTGACTCTTTCCTTATTTCCTCCTTTCATCATAACATTTGTGAATTTTAAAACAATAGGATCATAGAACAAAGGTGAAATTGAAACATCTGTTGTCGGGGCTTTGAGTGGATTATGGAGTCTCTGATCTTTTTTTGATAGCTTTTCGTTTAGTTCTTCTTTATTAGTTATTGGGTCTAAAAAAAAAACTGGACTGTAACTCGACATCCTTGAAACCTGAAAAACACAGTAAGGGGGGGGGGGGGCAATATTTTTTTTTGTTTTTTGTTTGTTTTTTTTTGGGGGGGGGGGGGGGGGGCGGCAAATTTATGTTTTTATTGAATGATTGCAGGGTTTTGAGCTAAGATTAATGAGGGTTACTTGCGATTTTATATAAACTACTCTTTCATTAACTATCCTTATTCTGTATGGTTTTAGCATTTATAATAAAATTATAATTAATTTTGATTGTAGGCAGCGTTTACGTTTATTTGTAAAAACAAATAGTAATTAGGTATAGAATATAAGAAATAGTAAAAAATTATTTATCTGGTTGATTTTGACAGTTGCAATTAAAGTAAACATTTCTATATTAAGATAGTGATAATTTCCCCTACTTTAATTTCGCTTGTCTTATAAATTTTATTCTATTATGCTAGATGTTTTTAAACTTTCTCGTATTCGAAGTAGAGAAAGTATTGTAGACGTGCAAAATTTTTGCAAATCTCGACGTTTTACACCTCCCTGAATCGGAAAAACATAGTTTTGCAATCTTGTCCGTATGTCTTTGTGTGTGTATGTGTGTGTGTGTTTGTGTGTCTGTGAACACGATAACTTGAGTACCTTACAGCTAGGTTGATGAAATTTTATACATAAGTATAATATCAAATGTATAGTTCTATATCAACTTTTCAGCGATTTTCGGTAACCGGAAGTCGAATTTATTCTACTTTCAATTTTTCAAAAGCTTATAGCTTGAGTACTGTTTCAGAAAGATAAATCAAATTTAACATGTAAGTAAAAGATCTAATTCTCTGCCTTCTATTAAATTTTGAGTAATTTCCTTTGACCGGAAGTAGTAATTTATGCTATTTCCGATTACTCAAAAAAAACGCATACGAATTCATAAATAACTAATAGTATTCCGCACTATTATACACATTTTGTTTGTCGTTCACTTGGTGCGCAATTTTTTTTCTACGAGATTCTATTCTATTTTTAAAAAACTTAAGTAATTAAAATGGATTCAAAATATTGTCTTTATCCCGCATTGCCATCCCCCGTAGTGTTATATAAGAATAGCGAAGTAATGACATACAGCTAGTATATATATATATATATATATATATATATATATATATATATATATATATATATATATATATATATATATATATATATATATAATTAAATAACTGTTTGGTCCATAAGTGCCTGATGTCGCGTTTTCGCGACATACCGTAATTATCATCAAATAAAAGTCCAAATTTAAAAACACGTATATACCTCAAATTCAGTGACAGTGAGAAAAAATCAGTACAGATAATTTTTACACGCTTGGAACATAATTCGGG